GCTGATTAGATTTTGCTAGTAGTGAAGACAACATAATGCTAACTTTTGAGCCTCAGTTTTGAGATTGTGCAAGCCTGTTGCGCTAGTCATGCAAGCTTAAAATCCGGACATTTTGGAATGAATAAACTTCTTAAAACCATTAGCAGTGAATTCTCAGTCTTCTGAAGTATTCGTTGGTCCAAAACTTGCTATGCTTGATAAGTGGCGTCGGCTAGTAGTAAGTTTTATTTTAGATGAGACAAGGTTTTGCAGCTCCGGTTAGCTGAGCTTATGCAGCGTAAATTTTGAAATGTTTGGCAGAGCTTTATTGTGCTGCACGCCTGCACTTCTACTCTTGACCAGTGCTCAAGTTCAAATTTACGAGTTCCTATGCACTTTGTTGATTTTGTCATAACTTGCAAATTTAATTGTTCCAGGTATTTCGTATGGCCTTCTGGATATCCGGAACCGTGTTCAAGATGATTCCATGCTTGATGCTTTCGTTATTTGTTTGGCTTTTGATGAAGATCCTGAGTAAGGTGCAGCAGAATCGCTTGAGGCTGTTGCGGAATTCTATTCGTTCCAGTAACGGTGAATGTTGCGACAAGAAATCGTCATCAAATTCCAAAATTCGCACCCGGTTGTACAAAAGATATAGTTCCAAGTTAGTTATGTTTCTTTTAGCGCTGCCTTTTGTTCATCATAACACACCCTTTTGCCCTCTAGCCGGCGATTGCTAGCTCTGCCAGCTTACATTATTATCATACAACAGTCGTCCTTTCTGAGATTCATCGGTAGAATCAATATCTATCAAGCATTGTACTGACGAAGTACAGCTGTCATAACTGGTTGTGTTGGAGTGAGAAATTTTCCGAAGTCTACCGTATAGTTAATACGAGAGTTCCTGAACTGCTTCATTTTTATGAAGCAGTTTATGCGTTTTTGCATATACGCAAATGAAACCCAGGCTGGAAAGTATCGGACATCCCGGTGCGATCATATGTTTTTGCATTAAACTCGCAGATCGTTATTAGCAGGAATGATTCCTACGCTGTAGCCTAACACTTGAGTTCATATTGCCTGTGCTTTGGCCCTTTCCGGCACGCAGGAGGAAGGGCGTCAGCTGGGATGAAGGTGGTGCATTATAGAGCCGCACGGATATCCAGGTGCATGATTACCGGTTTTTTGAATGAATTCCGGTCGTTCTTTCGGTAATTGCTCGCTTTGTG